ATGCAGAACAGATGACTGTTGTTTCTGAAACCAGTATTTCATTTTTGACTATGGGGAGTATTCTATGATTTGATTGTGACTTTGTATTTTCCTCTTTGTATTTTTTAACAGTTCCAGGGGGAAAAGTAATTTATTTATATTCCTGGTTTAAATCCAGAGTACAGGTCAGTGATCACGGAGAGTTCATAGTCACTGCTGGAGTGCTTAACCTTTGGGGCACATTTGGAACAAGACCTCTTGTGCTTTTGCATTACTGTTCTACTGTACATTGAGCTGTCTGCATTTCTGCAGGGCCTTTCTCAGAGAGCTCTTCCCTCCCTCTCATTGCTGTCTTTTCCTTCTCTGCTCTGAGAACAGGGAAAGGCCTTTTAGAAATACTTCAGGTTTTTTTTCTGTTCCCCTGTGCAGTATCTACATTACAATTGCTCCTCTGCACATTCTTCTGCATTTCTTGGCTGTCTAGGAATGGGTTGTTCATTCCTGTTGTTCCACTTGCAACTCAGGGTGCTATGTATTGGCTTCCACCTTGTTCATCTGTGTGCTAAGTCAGTCACTCCACTTCTGTGAGGTGGTTACATGGAGCTGTAGTATCTCAGGGATTCCAAAGATACTATGTTACCTGAAGATAATTGCTTTGATGAAGAAATCTTTCTTATGTAGATCTGAGTGGAGAAAACAACGTTCATTTTAATTTTAAAGATGTGTGGCCTCTTCACTGGCTGAGGACTTAATTTTCTTTTTCTGTGTAAGAATATTTCTATTTTTCCCCCCTCTCCATTTCCTGTGTTTCTTGAGCCAGTGCTTGGAGGTGGGAGTCATTCTTGCAAAAGCAAGGTGACATTCTGCATGATGGAGATGTGTCTTTTGGGGATGTTTCAGGCTGAGGGTGGTGCCCAGGCTGCCACTGGGATGCTGTCCATGTAAGTACAAGTAGGGAATCTAGTTCTGTACTTCATTTGCAGCGAGAGTGAAAATTTCATTGCTCTGTTAGAAAATGTAATAACCTGGCAAACTTCCATTTAAAGATTGCAATGAAGTTACCATGATTGGCTCTGTTTCTCTGAGGTCAGTATTAACTCAGTAATCACCTGTGCTCCATTATCCTGTCTTTCTGTGAGTCTATTACATGTGCCATTGCTGCATGGAAATTCACTGAAGTACAGAACACTTGAACAGATTCTCTGTACCTCTTGGGTGGTGAATTAGACTGCACTTTCTACAGCATCTGCAGCACCTTAGAGCCAGCAGAATGTTTACAATACACTACTCTTGTGTGGCCTGGTTAACAATTGTTCCTTACTCCAGTTTCATAATCACTTGATATCACTTTTTCTGATATTTTCAATACATTGTATTATATTGAATGCATGCTTATTTGTTTTCAGTAGAAAATTAAATCTCCATTTTATTAAAAAATGAAGCTGATCTCTGATTTAAAATTAGAAGGGAGGGTGAGAATCCCAGAATTCTGAGTGCAATATAATCACTTTAACAAAAATACTTTTTTGAGTGATCGTTTACAGTATATATCATATGTGCAGATGATAAAGATTCTTTTAGATGTTAGAACAGCTTTTTAGCTGCTTTATTGTTATGAATATATTAGAACATTTGTTAAATCAGCACAGAGTAAAATGTCTCCTTTTATATGAGGAAAATAAAATCAGTGTAATTCGTAAATGACAAGGGAAAAGTGGTAATTTGTGTACAAGATTTTACAGGTACCTTTCTCTGTATTTGTTTAAGTAATGCTCTCGGGTGATACTTCAGTCTCAATGAGCAGGTATGTCAAACTTCAGATCTGTTTTGCTGGGTCTACTAGCAGTGCAGACTGGGTCCTTGGAATAATTCTGTAGAAAGTGGTTTTTTGTACATTTTGCCTTTTCTGTGTTATGCTGTTAGGTGATCAAAATCTAAATATTTATTTGATACATAGTGAATAAGAATTGATAATTTATATCATCTTCATTCCTAATGCTAGGAATGCTGTCTCAGCTAGAGAGAAAAGAAGACTGGTTCTTGCTGTCATTTCTGTCTGCCAGAGGATTTGGCATTGTTACTCCCTTAAGTTGTTCCAGCTGTGATTGCACAGGATCCCATCACTTGTAGGTAAATGCATCCAGCTTTAGAGAGTTTGAGGGGCATGTGCCATTATCTGGCTTCAGAGTAATGTGAGAAACTGCCTTGTTCTGATACAGAAGGAGCCAGAGTTCCTATCACAAGACAAATAACTACCATAATATGGGGGTTTTTCAGCTTTGCATGTTGAGTGATGGCTCTTGAGTTTATTTTGTTCTGCATTCCCTTAACCCTGGTGGTACCCACAGACACCTTTGGCACACAAAGCCAGTGACAGCCTTTTGTGGCTGGTAAACTGATTTTTATTCCCTTCCCCTTGACTGAGATGTGACAAATCCTTTTCAAGGTGAGAACCTGTGGAGCAATTCCTCTGATTAGATTAACTGAAGTCCTCTACTGATTTCTAACCCTTGCTGCCACCATCCAACAGGGAAGGAAAAACTATCCAGCCATAGGTTTTTCAACACAAAGCCTCTCTCTGAATTCTGGACTGATTATCTGTCCTGTGCTTGTCCAGACCCAATGGATCTGGATATTTAGTCATATTCAGTGTTGAAACTGAGAGTAGAAGAGATACCAGTCCTGGTCTCTTCACTTTATTTTTTGTTTTCTGGACATTTTATGAAATGTCCTACCTGCTTGTTCTCCACTGCCTTGGTAGCAATGAAAATCAACTTGTGCCATGTCTGCCTTGCTGGCTACTTCTTGTGCTTTTAAGAACTTAGGTTCTTGGATTCACATGGTCACTGGCTTGATGTAAGTTTTCCTTCCAGCAATTATTTTTTAAATGAATGATGGATCATAGAAATTGCTAAGATGATGACCCATCCCTCTGTAAGTAAACTTTTCCAGGGCTAGCATCCAGTTAGGAGATGGCCTTTTTTTCCTGTACCGAAAAAACCTGAACATGAAACCCAGGAAGGGAAGAAAAATACCCCAGACCTTTTCATGTTTTCTTCACATTTTGAGAAATATTGAATCATATGACAGCAACCTGTGTCTCATTGCCTTGGATTGAGTAAACATAACTCGAGATAAACATAACTTTTACTGCATGCTCAGGAAGTAAAAATTTAGTGGCAAAATTGACATGATTTGGAGTACCATATGGTTAAATTATGGCTTCAGCTAAGTCTTCATAGAGATGTAAAAACCCCAGGCTTTTCCCAGTTATAACAACCCTCTGAATCAGTATTTCACAATGAAGCATGTTTTTAAGTTAACTTTCAAATTCTCAAAGAGGATTTGAGAATTTGAAGCAGTCCACACTGCAAACATGTACTGCATTTTTCAGAGGTCCTGCAAAATGTGAAGTACCACAAGAGTTTGCCAAAACAAATCAGCCACATGAATTCATGCTTAATATTTCTATATTTAGCCATTCTGTTACCTTTCTTCACCACTTAGGAGGTTATGAAGGTGCCTTATAGTGCTCAAAGTATTCAAACTTCAGAAGATTTAATGTCATTTTCTGGATTATTTTCTCATGGGCTGAAGTAGAAGAGAATATGATTATGAAGAGTTCAAGAAACTTTGATATATTTACACAGATGTACAGTAACACCTGAAAGACATCTGTCTGATTTTTTAGAATTTTCATAGTGTTCTATTTCAGAAGTTGCAGGTAAGACAAATGTTTCTCACCAGTGTTAAAGTGATAGGAAAACACAAAATGCTTTTGTTTCATCTTTGAGCTACCAAATTAGAATTAAATTTAAAATCAGATCAAATTTAATTTTCAGGCTATCCTGTAATAGAAAAATTTTACAAATTTTCACTGCTGTAAATACCTGTTTCTGTAATGACTTTATAATATGGATATAAATATAGTCTTAGGCTCCAAAATATTTGCTTTAGGAAAATGATAAAATACAGGTCAAATCTGACATACCTAAAACTCCATTGCTTGCCTCCTTTTTAATTCTCTTTGCTCAGGGCAGAACTTTGCTGGGAAGAAGTTTGGAGCAGTAAAATATTGACTTTTTCCCTCAGTTCATCTCCTATCAGCTTGATTTTTTTTTTCCCCCTTAAAATGCTCTCATCCCTTTCTCACCAGTTGAAACCATAATTCTGTCAGTAGATTTGAATATTGTTCTTCTGTCTTTCATTGATCTCATTCCAGGCTTTCTTTTTGCCAGTGTTACACTAAAGCTATTGAATAATTCCAGTAAGGAATGTAAAAGCACAGGGTTGTTAAATTTGTATCTTTTTGGTGCCTAAACTGCTGTCTTGCTTTTAATAACATTTTATTTTTGATAGCACTTAGCCTTTAAAATTGTATTTAGATAAACGTTAGTTTCTAAGGTGATCACTTTTGACATGACTATTTTTGTTGTGGTCTGTATTAAAAACAGCAGGTGGGTGGTGGTTTGGAGGTTTTTGTGTCAAATTGTGAATGATTCTCACGTGACTGAATGGTGTGTACTGGGTCATTGCTCCCACACACCACCTGATCTTTTGTTTATATCTCCTGTGTTGCAGTCAGAGCACAGGGAAACCCCCACATACCTTCCTGTAGCATCACGCCCCACCACCCTTCTCCATCAACAAGTATCCAACAAATAAGGGCAAAGCTGAATTTGGGTTATTGTTCTGTTTTCTGGGAGTCAGCTGTCTGCAGACATAAACCCTTGCAGCCACCTTTGTAGGGGAAGGAGGAGAGGGACCAGAGAGGATTAAAAATCACACCTGTGTGTCAGGAGTTCTAGCAACTCATTTCAACATGAGGTGGTTTTGTTCAGCCCAAAGTAGAAGTCTGCTATGGTGTGATGTTTGCCTCTTTTGATAACGTGGTGTAAATTTCTGTAGCTGAATGCTGTAAAAGTTGGTCCCACCTTGTAAAAATGTATCATACAATTAAGTCATGAGGCATTCCCTCCTGGGATCACAATACGTGACAAAAAACAATGATAGCAATCTGGAAAGATTCTGGACTTTTTTTTATTCAGACACAAAACATGGAAAGATCAAATTCTTTCCAGGCTGAGCTAGGTCTTATTTAATGGTATCTTATTTGGCTGCTGGATCAATGGGCCATGAACAGCTCAATCAATAATCAGTCTAGCAAGAGCTATCACATTTTTCTTCACCTTGATACTCTCCAATGCAATTAAATAGCAAGTGTAAAGGTGGACAAACAGTAGTGTGAATGGAGTACAATTTGTTGATGTTTTGTCTTTCAGAGGTTGAGATATTCCAGTACAAACACTTGCAGGATTTTGTTGAGATTGTCAATAGTGGCTTTGTCAAGGTTTTCTTCTGTGTCCTTTATGGTATGCCATACTGCAGGAAAAGGGGATGGAATCAGATGCAGGACTGGAACCCCTAAAAAAAGGAAAGTGAAATTTGGAGAAGAAATGTTTTAGAAGTTCTGTTAATCCAACAGATACTTCACCATGTAGCAACAGAGTCGGGTAACTATTCAATAAGCTTGCTTTATAGGGTGTGTCCCTGCAGCTTCCTTTTTCCTTCTCTTGTTTTGATGCTTGTGACTGCATCCCATCATTAAAGAGTGTATTGTGTAAAGCTGCCACCTTCCTTTCCTTTGAGTACTTTTCCCTCCTCTTACTTTTTTCTTTTTAAAATAATCTGTAGCTACTTATTGGGGGTTTTGGTTTTTTTTTTTTCCAAAATTCTTTAGGTTTTGTGTTTAGGAGCTACAGCAGGACAGAGAAATCACTGCAGCTCCTCAAAATGAAAACTGATTACCATGTTTTTGTGATACTGTTAAGACTGAATATTTTTGAAGCATTTTTCTAGTTCTCTACATAAATGGTAAAATAGGGTTTCTTATTTTTACTCTGTAAAATAGAGACAGTGTTGCCCTCAGATAAAGGAACTGTATCACTGCATGTATGTGTATATATACATACACACACATTACCTATATGTACTGCAGCTTGTAGGTAAAAGAGGAATGAAATCAGTCTTCTGCTTCCCAATTTGTTTTAGGGAGGAGCATTTTTTTTCTCAGCCTCTTTCTTGTTTCACTTCTTTTCCTCTCTGATTTTTCAGCTGCATACCACTAAGGAATCAATTTTTTTCATTAGGTAATACATCAAAGCTCTAAAGCTGGATTCAGAAGCCTCAAGTTGGGACAAATAAGCTTGAAAAACAGGAGCATATGCATTTGATCATTTATTAAATTAAGCATTTCTTACTGAATATATACAAATTATAAGAATTTCCAGTACCTCTTAACAAAAATGGAACATGATCATCTTCAACCAAGCCTCGATGTAAATTGCTGCGGAAATACTGACTTGGAACAGGGTGATTCTTCAGCAGATTCATGTTGTGTAGCTTTTGCTCTGTAATGCACAATGAAAGTGATTATTACAATTTTTGAACAATGAGGAATGTTAGCATGTTTGAATTATTTTTCCTCACACATGGAAGCTTTTTCCATGGCACAGTAGTGACTGTCTTTTGCATTTGTTTAATATTTGGAAGACCTCAGAACTGGTGCTGTTACCATAATTTTACAGAAGTGAGAACAAAAACACAGAAGTGAAGCAGTTGCCAAGTGTCACAGAGTGACAATCAGCAATATAATCTGTTTTGTTGCTTTCAAATGTCTGAGAGTCTTTCTCAGATGTTTCATTAACTAAGTATCAAAATCTTCATACAGGTTTAACATTTCACATTTATATTTTCAAAGATTCTTACTGTAAACCAGAAAATTAATCTAAAAATCTTTTACAGATTTACAGAGCTTAATATATTTAAAAACTACTCACTAGGTTTTGAAATTCATCCAAAACCCATCTCCTTGTGCTTACCAATTGCTTGAAGCCTCTGAAACCATCGAAGAGTGTTTGGAAAATAATTGGGAAAGACTGGGTTTCGTGCACCAATTAAATCCAGTAGTACAAACAGGTCCTAGACAAGAAAGAATCTTTAGTGCAGAACTCTTTCCTGTAACATCAGCAGCAGCAATGAAACTCTTGGTTTCCTGTATAGCTCATGAGCAGGTCTTTGCTAGCCCTGACCAAAGATCTGCCTTTCTAGTGTGGTGTGAGGAGAATTCACTAGCAGAACCTGATTCCAATCTGATACATTTTGCTGTCTTCCCGAGGAGGGCAAGGCTAGGCTATTCCTCTGTTCCTCGAGCTGAAGCAGGCTGCATAGCCTAGCCTGCAATTTGTGTGTTATATCTCTTTAAAACAGCGGTAGGTGGGGAGAAAGAAGAGGAAATTGCTTTTTCCCCTGAGAACAACAAAGTCTGTCAAGGGAAAGACATTTTATGAGTCACAAGAAGCAGTGACAGAAGTGCCTCAGCAGTAAACAGGGAAAGTAGAAGGGAACAGACAACCAAAATGTTAGTAGGAATCAGAGGGATACAGAGGTTGCTGTAGCTTAGTACTGAGCTAGGGGAGATTTGTTCATAGACCAATGCTGTTTGTGCTCTTTCCTTATCACTTGTAATTATCTTTTCCTGAAGAAGGTGGGTATCCTAGTTTATATTCTAATAAACTGTGTATTTTGATATTTCTATGGCTCCTCCTCATACTTGCATGCAGCAGGTCTAATCCCATGAAAAGCTCTTCCCAATTCTCTAACATATTTCATAATGTTTCCAGAATCCTGCTTCTTCCTTTAACTTCAGTGGGGTTGTGATTTTCTTGGGAATTTGGCCAGTTACCTATTAATTAAATATTTTTACAAATGCCATTTACTATTGTTCCCTAAGGAGGAAAGTCCTTAGGAAGGGAAGAGCCACTCACTATGCCCTGCAGCTGGTTTGTGGTTGTTGAACCAGGTGGGTGTGGAGTCGATGCCATTTTTTGAGCTAAGTGTTGAGATCCATAGAGGGAGTCGGAAGGGGACCACCGAACAAAGGCTTCTTCACCATCAAAAAAGATCAGCTGAAGGGAAAGGTCTGGTCTTGATGTTGAGCTGGCCTGTTGGAGGAAGTTAAAAGTAAAACTAAGTGATTCTGGCCAGAACATTAAATAAAGGGCAAATACTGTAGTCATGTCAGTAACACAGATAAGGGTGTATTTTCAAGGTTCCCTATGCAGACCTTCCTTTGGATGTTATTATGGTGTAATAGTGGTAGTCATCAGTCAAGGTAATTGTTATTTATCTAACACAGTGACACATTCTCCAGTCTCATATAATTTTGGTTCTGGATAAAAGTTTCATTTCTGACTTAGGAGGACATGACCTGAGCATTGAGACCTGCAAAACCAGGTAGCAGCAACATTATCTCAAATAATGAGGGGACATGTCAGTAACAACCCCTGATGGGAGTGCAAATATCATCATTTGATTGCATCACAAGGATTAATGTAATTGCTACAGCTGTGCATCAGTGGAGGTGAATTATGTATTTGACAAGTTGATGGTTCTTTCAGCCCCTTCTTTTTATTCAGGGGAATTTGCAGTCACTGAGGTAATTTTGTGCTAAACCAGAGCAAAGAGAGTGGATATGTCAGATATGTCTTTTCCTTTCAATAACCAAAATATAACAGCACTCAAACCTGAGAATATATATGATAAATGTGTTTAATGTCACAAAAAAGACATTTGTATGAAATTTCTTCCTAGTGTAGAGGGAGTCTACTATCTGAAGCCTCATTTGAATTGTCAGAATTTCCTAATAATCCCTAGCCCAGAAAATCCCAGTCTGGTTCCAATAAATGAACAGTTTGAGAATTGTAGTCTTGACAGTCGCTATAAATATTTTAAGCCCTCTATGAATTAACACTGCTTGAAGTAAAATTGCATGATGTGGTTGAAAAGGTGGGGTCACTGGCAGCAGTCATGTCCTGTATGGGCTACAACTCCCAAATAGCTGGAGCTGATGCAATCTGAACAGAAGCTTCTATAAAATGTCAGTCATGCAGGCAAGATGGTATTGATTGTGCTCACAGTGGTATATTGATTTCTCTAATGGCAATGGCTTGCTGCCTTTTGTCCTTTGCACATGACAGAGCTCTGTGGGCAGCAGTCATTTTGCATTCTGCAGGAAACTGTATCAGTGCTATTTGAGTTTTAGAAAGTAGTACTTGTGTTATTATTACCATTACTGCTTAACACATTTTAATAATGAAGAGAGTCTTTGCCCAATAATTTTAACTCTGGAGAAGTAAGTTATAACTGGAGAAGCATCAAGATAAAAATCACAACCTCAAGTCAAAGTATAAATAGATTTGGCTGAAAACATAGCAAAGTCTGTTGTGCTACCATAAGCAGAGCAAAAACATCATCACTAATGTATTAAGCAGATGGATCCCAAAGTATATTTTGTTAACAGACTGTACAAGTGATAGCCTGTGAAAAGTCATTAGTTGCCTTTTTGTCAAATGCTGTCATCTTAGATGATAAAAAATAATTTTCACTGTAAACCAGTGTATTCATAGTGAAAAATATCAGTCTTTATAGTCAGTGTGCAAGTTGTTTCATAAATACTCACCAGGCAAATTTATTATAAATCAAAGCCTATATATTACAGGACTTTTTTTTGTTTTGTTTTGTGATTAAAAATATTGGCATATTCCTAATCTTCTCATTCTTAAATATTCACATATCAGAAGGCACCAAATCAGTTTCTGGAAACTCCTGTCGACAAGTAATTCTAAAACCTGAGCTGAGTGTACTCCTGACACTTTGTAGAGTGTCTCTCACATTTGAGAGACCTTTTCCTGTAACACCTCTGCAAACTTATGAGAATTGTTTTTCTGTAAATACTGAATACTGAACCAGTAGATGGCACTCGTGAATCCATAATCCTACAAATTTGTAATCCTACAAGCTTTAAGAGTTTGTAGGCTCAACAGATTTTTGTGCTTAGCAATTGCAGCCCTTTGAAACAGATTTTCATAGCATAGGTAACACAGACTGATGACATTATACTTCTTTCATAAATAAACCATTCAAATTTGTAAAAAAAAAATTAAGAAGAAAATCTTTGTGGGATGGGGGGACCTGAGTGTGACTCTTCTGCAGAACAATTAGTTCATTTGTGTCTCAAAGCAGAATACAACTGAGATACTTCTGCAGGATTCAGAATGCAGCAAAGCTTTTCAATGGCCCTAGATGTTACTGGATGTGATAGGAACTTCTGAGTCAAGTTCTGTGCCTTTTTGATAGAAAGTAGCATTATACCTTTCCAAGTCTGCGAAACATCTATTATTCATGTATCATTTGTTTTTTTTAAATGGTATATGTTTATACAGATAACTTTTAATAAGTTATCCACCCTTTTAATAAGAAATTTTAATGTGACAATACAATTTAGAGTAGTAGATACTGATCTCTGTTCTTGGAGTCAATGGGAGATTTATTACAAGCACAGCAATCAGAGAACCCAGCATGCAGGCTATGGAAAAGAATGTGGAAATGCCCTGAGGCCTGTTGCTGTTGGCAAGGCAAATGAAAATGAAACAAAAGAACTACCTTGATTAACTGCAGCTCGTTATCCAGGGCCCGTGCCAGCTCCAACATCATGGCACAAGGCACAGCTGAATCAGTGGCTCCCACAAACACTCTGCCCTGCCACTGTTGTCCAAAGAATTTTGAGTCGTAGTGGCAAGCAAGCACGAGATGGCGTTTTGCAGAGGGCTCCAGAGTGCCAATAACATTTGAAAAGGTTTTATAGCCATATGGTGTGTATCTCTGAAATGTATCTTCTTCAATTTCCCAACCAGCCTTTAATGCTTGAAGACGGTTCTTGATATGCTGCAATTATAAAAAACAATCAGGTTAATATTTCTTGCTTCAGAAAGATGTTGCAGACAAATTGTTATTAGCTAATTAATAGTGGCTCCTAAGCTTATTTCTGTAAGTTCATGGTGTTTTAAAGGATAACCTTTATAGCAAAAAATGTAATATCACTGTATAACTTTGCTACCTGAGCCTCTGACTGCCTCATTTGCTTTTTATTTCTTCCCTCTGACCTTTCTCTTTGTGAGTGTGAAGATGTTTTGAATTATTGCTGGTTATTACGACACATTAAGATCTTGATCTCTAAAGTTTTCAGGCCAGTGTCTTTTTCAGGTGTAACTAGAGCAGATTTAATGTTAACATCTTCAAAGCTTTAACTCAGATGTGCCCTTAAATTAAAAGTCAGAATTGGCTGTGGAGACCTTGTTGTGGCTGTTTAGACAATTACCACACAAAGATGCCACAGAAGTATAAGGAGAAAAAAAAAAAAGCTGTTTGGGTTGGTTGGTTGGTGTGAGGTGGTTGGACTTCTAAGCTTCTGTGAAAAATCTGCCTTTCAAGTGACATAAATTGTTTACAAGGCCATAACAGATAGGTAGATTATTTTAATTAAAGAAAGAATGAAACATTTCAGAAGAGCGTTTCAAAAATGAAATTCTATAAGTGTAGCTCATATAAAGATAAGAATTGAGACAATCTATAAGGCATATCATTAATTTTAGCTATCTTTCTGCCTGAAGAGAATACCTCTAACAACCCCAGCTATACTTCAACCAGAGTTCTGGCTAACTCATATTAGAGGGACATCTCTGCTTCTCTGTTGAGCAACTTATTTTTGTGGGTCCCTAGAGAGCTTCTTCAAGGCAGATTCCTCTCTCTTTAAGTAAACATTAGGAAAAGCCTCTAAGGGGAAAATAGACTTTGAAGACTTGTTCTGCTCTTAGGGGAGTCAGTAGGAATGATAAGAAACAACAATATTGCCATAGATTTTAGTGCTAGAACAAACTTCCATTTTGTTTGTGGTCACCCACTGAAAGCTTTTACATGGTATGGTCTATCAGCTGTCAGTAGGCAGAGTGAAGGATGTCTGTTAAGGATTGAGGGCACTATATAAGCCTGGATGAAGCTCACAGTAGCCTTTTTCCCTAGTCTGATGATTTTGTGTCAACAAAGAAGTATAATCCATTTCAAACTCCATTGCTGTGTTTTGACAATAGAGGACTCTTAATTTTTTTTTTTTAATTTAATACATGCTGTTACCTTGTAACAGGATGATGCATTCTATTTTGAACATAATCTGTGGTTTTCTAGCCTAGGCTCAGCTGTTTTTTTGCTTTTCTTCCTTTTCTCCCTTTCACTTGGCTGCCTTCCAGAGTACTGCTAAAGAAACCACAAAGCTAAATCTACAGAGATGTGCACGCGCACACACACACACACACACACACACACAAAATGCATAAAAAGGCTGCATTTTTCCAAACTACAAATTCCTGAGTAGCAAATAAATTTATTGTAGCTGGGGCTGTCTTAGAGCTGTTGAGTCAGTGCCCAAAGGGCAGATGAAGGCTCGTGGATGCTGTGAATGTCTTTAGTAAACTCAGCTGTACCATTGTCTTCTCCTGCTTCGCTGATGGGGTCCAGAGCCAGCATGGACGCTGTCCTGAATTTGCCCATGCTGTGAGTGCAGAGCAGAGGGGCTGGCAGAGCAGCAACCCCATTGTGTGATAGCTTCTTGTGGCTCAAAGGCAACGTGCTGGAGTCTTTACTGCCTTGGGGCCAGCTGCAGCCTGGTTTGTTGGCCCAGCACCAGGACACTGCTGTACTTGGGCCAGTGGAGCTGCTGTGGTTCATGGACCAGGGCTGGCTGCACTTTGTTGTGCTGACCATTTCATCTGCCTGCTCCTTTGGGCCCCTCTGATCCCCTTTTGTGTTGATATACACCCATCTGAGGCAACTCCCCAGGGCACTGTAACAGCAGAGGACAGGGCCTCTCCAGAAAAAGTGTCATTTATTTCATCCCATGCGCGGTCTCGGGTTTGAACCAGTGACCAAAAACCTGCTCATGTGAGGGAAAGGACAACCACTGTGTTGTACTTTGGGTACCAAACCTGGGGCAAACTTGTTAATTTAAAACATGATTTAAAAAAAAAAAAAAGACTTATTTTCTATCATGCTATGCAGCCCTGGGAAATAATGTCAGCTGATGTGCAAGCTGTGTCATGTTGGCACTATGCGGTCTAGACTTGAACAATGATAGAGTTCATCCTACTGAATTAAAGGAATTTCTGTGGCACTGTCTCTTTGGTAGGGGTCACCAAAGATGTTACCAGAATATAAATAATTACAATAATAATATATAGTAAAGATGTTAGAGATTGTCAGGAAGCGTTGTCTTACCTGTCGCACGATGTAACTTCCTTGTGATCCCGGGTATCTTTCTATCAGGATAGGGCGCAAATCATTCTCCCACATTTCAGAAATATCTGTGTTGGCCACAACTTTTTGAATAGCATCAGAACTTAAAATTCTTGGTTGGTGAGAATACTGCAGAAGGTAGAGAGGAGTGCTATAACTATTACTAGATCTTTTAAACCAGTTTTCTTCATAATTATGATAAAAATGGTATATTCTGCTACTTTGATTTATTCCCAACAAAATGCAATTGAAAAACCCCTTTTTACTCAGAAATGATTGGCTTCTCTGTCTTTCATTTCCATACAAAACTTGCTAGTATTTAAAGTATGGGAGAAAGTTTTACCTACCAGCTAGCTGTAAAACCTGAACCAATGAATGGGTTCTCTGTTTCCTAATATCTAAATTATACATGTCATGTCTGAAACTATGCCACCTTCAGCCGAGGTTTCTATTGAGACAAACACCAGAAGCTTTGTTTCCAGCAGTAGTATTTAGCTTTATGCTGTGTGCTGTGAAGAAATGCCTAAGGTAAGTCACGCCCAGAGGGAGCTGGCTGTGTCATTGTGGTCTCTGCCCACAGCGGCGGAATGAGAGTGACTGCACAGAATGCTGTGGCTCCTCTGGGGCTAGCTGGGGCATTTGTCAGCTCGGTGACACATGGGTTAACCTCAGACCCGACAGCTCGTCTCCTGTGGCAGCCCCTAGGATGTGACCTACCTCCCAGGTGACTTCCTTTCTGTTGCCCAAGCCCAGGCCTTTGGGGCTGTATCAGGTGACCCAAAATGCTTGAGACATCCTTATGTAGCTGGCAAAGGCACATCTTAGATGTGCAAGAGCTCCAAAGAGCTCTGCACTGGTAGCTGAATGCCAGGTGGGATTCCCAAGGACATCTCAAATGCCCCTTTAGACACCAGGTTTGAACCTATCCAATCTCTAGCAGTTGTCCCCTCAGAAACTTCCTGTGCCACTACTATTTTTACAGGTTCCTGTTTCAGGCACTATCATTCCATTCCTCATTTATATCACAGGGTCTTCCCTCTACTCCTGTCTTTCTCCTAATGAAAAATACTGCTTTGTTTATTTCTTCTTTGATCAGAACTGCCTTACATGATTTGCTGTCCTTCAGTGTACCTTGTCTGTGTCATCCTTTCTAAGATGAGCAAAAGGAGCGAAAATGGAACATGAGCACATCAGTTTATACTGTAGGACAATGGTATTTTTTATTTTATTCTTTTTCTTTCTTCAAACTGTTAAACAGCTGACTTGCTTTTGGGCTGCTCCTGCATCAAAATGACATTTTCATACATATCTGTAGTCTAACCCTATCATTGTATGTGTTAGCAAGGAATAATTCACTCCTTTTCTACTCGTGTGTGTCATTTCACATGTGTCTGACACAACACCTAAAACCCATTACCTGGCCAGAATGTGAACTGACCTCGAAAGTCAGGTACCTCATTACCAATTACCTTATTACCCTAGGTGATGAATATTGTTGAAAAACAGGGGTCGCCTCACTATTTGACTTTTTTCTATTTCCTTTGTGTTTGTACAAGCAAGTATGAGCACAAGTATTTTTTAGATTCCACTACAAACATTTAATTCTACCCTTCTCTTGTTTCCTAGCTATTTATCTCTGTGTGAACCTTTCCTCTATTTCCACTTAGGTTTAGCAGTGGAATTAAGCAGAGGGCTGACACAAAGACACTGAATCTAATTGTGCCAATTTTAATACATGTTTAAAGCTGAATTTTAAGACTGTAAGGACACCAAAATTTAAGATGGGCAGTTAACATTTTTATGGCTAGCAAATTTAGACATAGATCAAAGAAAAAAGAAAAATTATTTCATCTGATATGAAGATGAACTTTTGAAAGTTTGGAAATTATACCATGGAAGTTGTAAAACAGTCTTTTGAAATACTAGCAGTTTAATAAGGTGGAACTTAGACCAGTGTAGAAGAGGCACAGAGAAGAAAAAATGACAGGGAGCTGTTCAGTTTAGGAGGAGCAGACTGTAAGGGGAGAGTGAAAAACAAAAGCTATGTACTTTGGAAGAGTGTAGGAGGACAATTTAATTAAGGAAGTTCAGAAAATCTGCAGTTGAACAAGCGAAGAGCATGCCTGGTAATTGGGGTCATCAAATCACTTGGCAAAGAAACATTATTAAAGTACAAATGCATGAAAGTACTTCAGAGGAGAGGAATCAATTTCCATTTCTAATGATGGAGATATCAAATTTGGGAAGTGAGAGGAGTTACAAAAGTGGTTATGAAATAAAAGAGAAGCAAAATAAGATTTGTAAGTGACTCATTCTTTGCAGTGTTGGTCAATCCCTACTTAGCCACAACAGGGAGGCAGAACAGTATCTTCATGACAGGGTTGTCACTAATCCTGTTCTACTAAGCTGTACAAAACTGCAAAACTTCGAGTTCTACAAGTAGCCCAGGCTTACCTGCAGGACTTTGAATTTCTGGCTCACATGTCCCTCCAGGGAGAAAGAACAAAAGTTGTTGAAGGACAAGAATTTGATGAGAAAGAGGTGGTTGTTTTTGCTCAGTGTGTGCGCAGGCGGAGGAGCTGAGGTGTGATGGTTCTGTGGCACTACTGACAGCACTGCTGGGGAGACTGGCTGGTCAGAATGGAGCCAGCTAAAGAGTGAGGGGCTGGGGCTCAAGGGGGCTGCAAAAAGGAGCACTGGAGCTGTGTGACTGTTCATTGACCAGCGTGACTAAAGATTCACCCCTGCATGGATATACTATATATGTACATTTACATGCATTGTGCATAATTACAGATATACAGTCTATACATGAGCTATATATATACTATATGAGCTATACACATATATATGTATGTAGTGTAAGGTACAATTAATAGAACAGAATGAAACAGTACCTCATTATCAAACAAAGAAACAAGCCAACATTTCCTTGAATGAGGGGGTGAGTTAAAACAAGGAGAAAGGGAGTCACTCAGGGGAAGCATGGAAGGGTGTGAGGGAAGCCTCATTTTACCAGCTTGTCTTGTGGAATTCAGTTGCTTCTTGCTGAACTTTGACTTCAGCTCTTCTACAAACACTTGGGGAATGGCCCTAAAAGTATATTTTCTGTTTGAAAATTCCTGAAGTGTTTAGTTGAATGTGGTTTGCAGTTTTAAGCTTTCCTACGTTTCACGTGGTTTAATTCTTTATGAAGAAAACTATGTTAATGTTTCATAATGAAACACTGAGACCTGCTACATTGAGAAATCTGTGGTTTAAAGCTTACCACTGTTTAGTTAAACCATATCTCAAGATTCCTTTTTTCACTAGTTCACACAGCAGTCTAAATTAGACACAATATGGTACGAGTCTACAACATATTAGAGCGTTATATCTTTTCAAAACAATTTTGTACCGGCTATCAGCACCATGCCTACTTGTTTTTCCTAGATACATGTGCATTGCTGCTGACAGAGCTATCTGTCTTCTCAAACTAAGTCACTGTCCTCTGACTCACCATGGTCACAATGAAAGTTGGAGTATAGTAGAATGTTATAAGGAATACAATTTCAGATTTTGATCCGTCTTTCCCTGTTTGGGTTTCCCCTTAAATTCAGTAACATTTCAGACCGTGACAAAGCTTATGGCTCTTGCTGCCCGGTCCCGGGCGGTGCGAGATGGCAAAGCCGAACGCGTGAGGAAGATCTGCTCACAAGGCTTAGGAGGGGAGCCATGGCACCCACCCTCACCTGCGGGACCGCGTCAAGGGTGAGCCCAGCCCG